TAAGTACATATTAATAAATTCGTTTGAATACGATATGTGTATATATCGCATTCAATTATACACAATTATATACGATATAAATTTATATAACGTATATATTTAAAAAAGCATAATTAATTTGTGATTGTGGTTCATTTTTGGAGTGAATTGGATCGCAGACAAAAAAAAATTTATATTTTGACCATTTTTTTATTGAAATTGGGCTCCAGGCAGCCATTTTTTGAATTAATAATTTTATATAAAAATATATGTAATATACTATATAATATATAATAATTTTATATAAGACTAAATTTGTTAAGATCCTTTACATGAGAACTATTCATAACCCAGATTCCAAAACGTAAGAATTTGGTATTTTAGATGTAACGGAGTTATACATTGAACCATTTATTTGTAATCATAAAGGAGCAATTTTGTTGACAATTAAATTTTGTAGTAATTACCATGCTTTATCATACGAATTAAATGTTTACTTTAAAAATTTTCATTTCGCGTTTCTGGACACACGGAAAAACAGAACAAACACAAATTTAAAATTTGAACCCCTAAAACTATGCAAAGATCAAATATTAAAAAATTATTTTCAATAAGAATTTATTTTTTTGTTATACAAAAACAATTATTAATATTCGTGATGTGTTTATCAATAACATCAAAGGATACAAACTACCAAAAAAAAAAAATTTTAAATGAAACCCTTTTTGAAAAAAATGTCAAAATTAAACCACTTAGGTCAAAATAAAATAATAACAAATAAAAAAAAAAACTAAAATATTAAAAATTTTTATCACAATTCACAGCTTTATTTTGTCATCGTTATTCACAATTTGTTTTGTAAATTTCTTCATTTCTCGGAAAAAATAAAAAAAAGGAGAGAGAACCTTAAAACTGAAATGAAAATAATGAATAATGGTATTTTATCGTATTTTTACATTTACTGCATAAACGACATAGAATAAATATACTATAAAGGAATAAAGGATAGAATGATATTGGTTGTTTTTTACTCTTTTGTACATCAATTAATAATATTGTCGATAAATGTTTGACTAATTCATAAAGTATAATAACAAAAATATACAAAATAAGGCCAAATGTATATGGTTTGGGTGAATTTAATTTACGATTATCCTTCATCCTTAGAAGAATTGACAACAGGAGTGGGTTTTAAATGATATATATTATATGAAATATGATAACATTACTGTACTACAAACTATAATATATATTGAGAAATTTTATACATTTGCTAATTAAAAAGCAAATTTTAAGGTTAAAATTTAAGAAAGGATTTTTGCGATGATTAACCGAGTAAAATGGTGCCACATATAATGTAATTTTTGATAACCATTTTAAAATTTTACTTCATATGTTATTAGTTGAATTAAAACTTGTATGACATTTTAGTCTTAAAGAAAATATAAATTTTTAGTGATTTTTTTGACACTCAATAACATATTTAATTATTTGATATTGAAAAATTTTCATATTTTATAAGTTTCAGAATAATATTTATTTTATTAAAATTTAATATATTTTTTAAATAACAATAAAATTTTCATTTATGAAATTAAATTTCCTCATTATTATAAAAATATTTTAAAATCTTTTCTTCATAATGACTGTAAATATTAAATTGCAGTATAAAATAATTCAATATAATTTGAAATTTTATTTTAAAATAGCTAGCTAACTATATAGGCATATTAAAAATATCTTATCAATGATTTTAACATAATAATCAATATGATTTTTCAATTTAAAATAAAAAAAAAAAATATTAATGTAACAATTTAAATAATTTTTACATTATCTAAAAATTATGTTTTTATTTAGAGCATAAATTTATTTACGAATATTTAAGGGAAAATCTTAATTTATAATTTTATAAGAAAAAAATAAAGTATGTATAAGGAAGGCAACCAAAAAAATCTGATGTGGTCAGCACATAACCGACCGCATTGTGTATTGTCTAGTTAAATGAAAGTGTTACAGAATATTATAAAAATGTCTGTTAAATACTTTTTTCCAATTTTTAGGACATTAGTAAGCTTATAGTTAACATACTTAGAAAAATGTAAATTTGGCTCTTAGTAGAGTTTCGCTTTGTGCTACCCGAATTCCCTGAAATGCTCGCCAGTTAGTTTCGGTAACAACCAGAACTCAAATATCAAATTTCAAGAAATTTCATCAATTTGTTCTGTGGATATGGTGAAAAATGTAAAATTGGCCCGCAAATCAGTTCTCGAGGCCTGATCTTTCCAAAAAAGTTACATGTTCATTGCTTTAATATGAGGAATTCATATATTAAATTTCAATGAAATCGGTTGATTATTTCTCTTTATATACACAAAAGTGTATGTTTGGCCCGTAGTAAACGTCTAGTTGCCGATGCCTAATCTTTCCAAAAAATTTACATGTTCATTGTTTTAATACGGGGAATTCATATATTAAATTTCAATGAAATCGGTTGATTATTTCTCTTTATATACACAAAAATGTATATTTGGCCCGTAGTAAACGCCCAGTTGCTGATGCCTGATTTCTTGCAAAAGTTAGGAATTTTTGCGTATGATCGAGCAAAGCTTATATATGAAATTTCAAGTAAATCGGTTGAATATTTTCTTCAAAATGTTCAAAAATGTAAAACAGGCCCGCTAAAAAGTGCAGTTCCCGAGGCCTGATATATACCAAAAGTTGATCGATCCGTGCCATGGTGGAAACAAACTTACATATAAAATTTCATCAAAATCGGTTCAGCCGAACTTGAGATACACGCATGCACACACAGATCGACAGACCGACAGACCGACAGGTTGCTAAAAATAGTTTATTTACACTTCCCTACTATGGAGAAGTACGTTCCCACCGAAAACTCGATATGCAAAATTTGTTGCCATCACATAACCTACCTATTGTTTACACAATACGGTCGGTAAAAAGGACAAAAATGTTATTTTTGTTAAAATTTATTGCTCATTTTGTATATAATTATACATATAATGTGTGTTTGTATGTATACATCCCTATATAAATATATTTTAACATTTTAAAAATTGTTTAAATGAAAATTAAATTAAATTTTTCATATTGAATAGAATAATTTGAGAACATAAAACAATTTGCTCATAAAATTAACATAAAAGTGAGATTTTTTGTTAAAATTTTTGTTTTTCTTTTCATAGTACAGTTACTAGTATAACCGAGTATAACAGTGTTGGCTGTTCTTATTTCGTATGACTTGTTAGAGTAGAAAATATATTCAAAATTTACTTATTATATAGTATGGTATAAATATTTGGTATAATTTTGAATCTTGCACATAATATGAAATTAAAATTTCTCAATCAACTTAAAAATAAACAAAAATCTTCAATAAAATCTAATAAAGCCGTAAATTTTAAGATTATATTGCCATTTTTGTCTATGCAGTAGCTTGTGTCATTTGGAACCTTTGATCTCGCAAAGCGTAAATGACATATTAAATACTTTCTTTCCTTATAATGAACTTACAAAATTTTATATTCTTTCGTTTCTTGAAATCTATGCCACTGGATTATTTACTGATGACACGGACCAGTTGAAAGGGAAAAATAATCTTTGCCAGAGTTTTACAAAAACCTGTCTCTATACCCTGCATCTTCTTGAAGGATATATTAATAGGAGTCATCTACGGTGTGGACATGTATATTCTTAATCAGAGCTGATTTCTGTGTTGATTTAGACATGTCTGTCCGTTCGTCCATAGAAGTTTTTATGGAATGCTTTGAAAGGTTCGGGTAAATGCCATTTGATTCCATAAAACTAATTATAAATATTCAGATAAATAATAAAGCTAGATTCAAGAAACTTGGCAGTCAGATGTCCAATTACAGATAGCACATATCCGTTATTGTTATGTTATTATGGAATGATCTGGTCAGGTTCCAGTAGCTATCATACAACCATGAAAACTAACTCTAACTATTTCAAGAACAAGTTTTCATATTCAGATTGTCAATGCGAAGGCTACAATTCAGTCGGTTTAGACTGACCAAAATTTTTTTTTATTAATATGAAAATTAATTTCAAAACTAGAATTGGAAATAAATGAATTTATTTTTAAAATTCATACAAATAACTAAGATTCTTTCTAAACATATTTACTACTCAATTTCTCAAGTGATCTTGAAAAGAATAAAACATTACTTATAATTAGTTAACATTGAATGCATTATTAGCGATTATTAGCCTCCGATAGGTAAATAATTATTTAATTTTTTTAAGTTGAATTCGATTTTTATTATATTAATTTTTATACAGTTATAGTTATTGTTGCAATTGTATAATTTCTTAATTAATATTAACATAACAATAAGCAATTTATTATTAAATTAATAATATTTAATATTGGCGTCAATATAAACAGTTTCCGGTTTTTATTTTTAAACATTTACAAAAAACACAGTTCTATATTGCAAAATATCATTAAAAATGTAAGTATATGTTTATAATACAATGAAAAATACAATGAAATGTGCAATCTCACCATAAAAGTGGGATATTTAATTGATTCATAAATTTAAATAATAAATTCATCGATAAGTAATATATATAAATAGTAATTTAATTATTTTGACATAACGATAAAAAAAAATTGATTTAAAAAAAAAAAATGTGCCTAAAAGTATGCAAATTTTGATTTAAATTGCGTAAAATATAAATGTGACTTATGTAAATAAGATACAGATTTCATGCATATCTAGAACTAACAATTTTTTTTACCAATTCACAATAATGTGCTTAAATGTATTAAAATATAATTTTTATTTAAAAGCACCCAAAAAATTTCGATATTTTTGAAAAAAAAAACATTACGGTGAAATTTATGGTAAAAAATATTTAATGGTTTAATTTATAGCATTTCCTTATTTTTTTTTCAACATTTTTATGTTTTTAATATTAAACGTATATATAAATAAAAAGCAATGGGAAATTTATTTTAATGGAGAACTTACCATAACTATGAGCTGAATTATGACTGTAAACTGATTCGTTATCATGACCGGAATTAACTAGAATACTTTTCTTTCTAACTGGTCCAATCTCACTATGCGAATGTACAGATGTCTATATTGCGAGAAATATACAAATAAATAAATAAAAAGAATAGGAAAAACAAATATGGACTTTTGTATTCCATAAAAGTTTTTATATTTATATTTGTGTGTTTTTGTGCAAATATGAATACGTTTCTATGATTGTGGTATTAAAATGTGTATATAGATTTAAAATATAATTATGGTGAATTAACGATTATGTATGGTACTGCATTTACGATATGATTATTATCATAGTAATATTTATTAAAATAACAAATATCCATTAAAAATAATTGTGAATAGAACCAAAAATTTTAGGATATTTTTATAACCTGACATTATTCTAGCAATTTTTTATAATAAATCCATTCATATTTTTACGCTTTAATCGTTATTCCACCATTTAATTTACAATAGTTTTGGTTTGCTTTTTAATATTAAGTGTTACGTGTGCATAGTGATATATGGTGATTGTGTGCGATAAATTATTATTTAAAATTTTGTGTTCCTTGTTCGAAAATAATTACGTATATATAATTTTTATTTAGGTTAATAACTTACTTGTGATATTTTTCTTTTTGGATTTTGTTCAAATGCCAAATTATCATAGCCATGTTTACCACCATATTCATTTGCTGCTGGATCTGATGCTATACTAATCCTTCTTCTCGGTTCAGTTGTATGTGCTAATGATGCTGAACTATTACTAGCACTTATACTAGTACCAGTAGTTGCTGCTTTATTATGATGTGGATGTAAATGATGATGCTGATAATGTGGTGGATGAAATTGTGCTGATGCTATTGTAGGTTGTACTGTTGCAGTTCCAGCTGCCGCAGATGAATCTACTTTCGGATATGATGAATGATTATTATATGATTGAGATGAAGGCTCATTAATTGTTATTATCGGATCATTTAATGACGAAGGTGGAGGTTCGGCCATGCTGTTTTTGTTTTGTGTTTTTGTTTAATAAATTTTTAATTTTGATTTTATATGAAATAGAGAAAAAAAAATATAATTTCCGAATTAGAGTTAGTATATTAGTGAAAAATAAAAATTTGTTTTATTTTTAATTTTGCAAAAATTACTCTTTTTAATTTATAAAATTTAGTATCAAAGATTGTTCCAAAACAACATATTCCAAACTCTTATTCCGTCACATTTTACCGCCTATAGTAAATTGCAACATTTTCATTAACTGGTTTTCCAAATCTATATTAGTTGCAGAGCTATGTACATTTCATGTGATTTTAGTATGTGGCAACTTTATATAATGTTAAAGCTTATCATTATTCAAGTGAATCAGGGGAAACCAGAGATTACGGAGAAGATAATTAATATCACTCTTAAGAGGGCTTCAAAAGATGAACGAGAATTTCCCATTTTTTTTCAAGGTAAACTAAAATTTGCTCAAAATCTTGTGAGGGTGAACTATTCAAGATGTACAATTAGTATACAGACTTTATTGTTATAATTTTTCTTTGATTTTATATCCAATTTTATTCTAATTACAGTCCACAATATTAAAAACGATATAATAAATTTATTCCTATTTAAAACCTTTCTCGGCATTTCGTTATAATGCTGATATTTTACAGCTAAATAAATTGAAATAAACTGGTAACACTGCTCATGAGATCTTAAAGTATTTTATTTTATTGTATTAACTGCGACAACTTTAGAAACAAGATTATAGAAATAGAAAGCGATAAGTTGCAAGAGTAAATAAACAAGTTTAAAAATTTTCTCTCATATTTCAAGTTCAAAACGAAAACGTAATTATTTTCTGTGTATATACTTCTTAAAAGAGGTAATAAAAATAACAAAAACAAAAAAAACGAGCTTACAAATTTATAACAACACGTTTTTTGAAGTATTTTCTGAAAAATTAATTTTATGACGCATTAATATTAATTTTCGAATGCTTTACTCATTATAACTCTCGCGTGAGTGTAACTTTGCAAACACAATGAAAAATTATAAAATGCATGATTAAAAATAAATTTTTACTTTATGCTATGTAGTGTACAAATACATTTCTCGTTTATAATAGTACAAAAATTACAAAGGCGGGATTTGAATATATTTTAAACCGAAATAACCAGAAAAAAAATATATTCAAAAATTTTATTATTTAATTAAATTTAAATAATCTACAACAATGCAGAACGCTCTTGGTTCAAAATGTTTTATCAAGATTTTTTAAATTAATAATTTTTTAAAATTCCCTGTTAGAGAAGTTTCTTATAGAGAGTTGAAATTCAAAATATTTATAATTAATTGTAATATAATAATAAGAGGTAACAATTTTCCATATTTGATAAAAGATTATTTTAGTGAGCTTTTTAGCACTTTTCCAAAAAATTTAAAAAAAAAAATGCTTATTAGTTTCACTCTGTCCGTCCGTGCGTCTGTCCAAGCGTCCGTCTGTCCGTGTGTCTGTTTACAAAACTTCTACACCCTTGAAGATAGAAACCTGAAATATAATACGTACATAGATCTTTACTAGAACCTTATTTCCGTAGAACAAAATTTTTACCTACCTCCCCCCCTCTAGAAGTTATACCCCCCAAAAAACCTAAAGATGGCCTCTTTTAACTATTTGTTGCAATGAAACCATAAGCATTTTTGAAATTTTGCAAACGCATAAAGGCAGCGGCTTGCTTCCCTTGAAAATGGCCGTTCAAATTTACCGTTATCTAAAGTCTTTTTTTTCCAAATTTTCGATTTCGTTTTTCTTTTAGACCCCAGTCTGTAGAAGCTTGAAATTTTAGGGGCTTTTAGATATTAACAAATAGTTCATTTTGTTAGAAGAAAATTTTTTTCCATTTCTACCCCCTCTCAAGTTATCGCCTCTTGAAATTTGTAAAATTTGAATTTTTGACACCTTATATTTCCGAAACCGCAAGCTTTTTCAAATTTCTATTAACGCAAAAAGTTAACGGTAAATTCCATGAAATTAAAAAATATAATTATTTTTCTTAACTCACAAAATTAAACCTTAAAATCGAGCATTATGTTAACCCCACTTTATATTAATTTTTGCTTTATTTCAAAGACTGCATAAATCATTCATCCTAAATATATGCAACCCTAGAAATAGTTTTGTATATGAATGAATATAATTTTAATAGTGTGATAGGTACATAGACTACATAGACTGTATTTAAAAGCAAAATTTTCACTTGTTGAAGGGAAAAGTGCTACAATACAAACCATTGGTTTGACCCAACTTTATTAAAAAATTAATACAATTTGCCGTGAAACATCTAGTAAATAAATTATGTACTTAAATATTAAGTACATACATTATGTATTATAATATATTTATGTACATTGCTATTTTCTAAAAAAAATATTGATAAAATTTCAATTTATTTATTAAAATCTAACTTTTTTAATTTGGTGGGAAAATTTTAATTCATGATTTATTTAAATTGTTGAATAGTTAAACAGGAGTTAAAAAATTATTGCATTTAAAAACAATATAATTATAGGTTTAATAATCTTTGTTCTATGTGGTATTGTAATGAAAATAAAAATATGAAAATATCGTTAATATTTTCTTAAGAATTTTTGAATTTACCAATTTCCCGAGTTTTGATTAGAATATTGGCTCGGTATTAATGGAAGAGTGTTTTTATTGCGTTGTTGACAATACGTTGTTTAAAATAAATTTTTGAAATTTTAAAAAAATTCTTTATTAATTCTTTAATTGAGCGAAAACCAATATTAAGCTTATGTTGTATCACAATGCAATATAAAAATTGCTATTATTTTATTAATTTGACCCAAAAATTTTTTTTAAGCATTGAAATCTTTTGTTTTATTATCGAAAAGTATTGATTAAAAGGAAAATTTCGTCATTACAAAGATTTAAAATTTATTTTGGTTAAAATAGTTGTTATGATTAACTCATAGAATTTTTGTAAACATAATCAATAAAAATAATGGGTGATTTTTGTGTTAGTGGGATTTTCCTATTTTGTAAACTTCACATTTTATTCATTACAGAATGTTAACTTCAAATCAATTTAGTCTTGTTTCATATTAATATCATAAATGCACAAATGATTATATATTTCATCGGGATAACAAATTTTTCTAGATGAGGAGTCAATAGAACTACAAGGTACTATACGCTGGAAAAACAGTGTTTCAGACAACTTCAGAAGCATCTGAATTATTTTTGTTAGTGAACATTTCTAGTTAACATTTTATTCGAATTATACTCAAAAAATTAGAACAGAAATTGATGTTTTTTCTGTTCTTTTCTCTAGAATTTTAAAACTAACCAATATATTAGAAAGTGATTCACCAAATAATGTCACAAAATCATCACATTTTTTAATAAAATTTATTTATAAGAATGCCATGTATATTTTTTTTAAGAACTTAATAATTGAGGTTCATTGGAAATCAAGCACCTCTACTCCATCCATACGTCAGAACAGAAACAAACAAATCGGGAAAGTTTTTAATATTTTGAATTTTTCTTATTGAATTCAATATTATAGTAAGTGAGTAAGAATGCTGTTTGTAAGAATATACATATGTACATATGTTAATTCATTTGAACTTTATATATATATTTTCATTTAATTAACATTCATAAGATCACTTAAAAAATTATAAAGAAAATAAAAAAAAAATTTTCAACGCATTTATAAACGTACACAAGTAATTTGAGTCTATAAACTTGAAACTAGTTTTGTTTTTTTTTTTTTTAAATTTTAATATGAAAATATTTTTTAAATTTTAAGCTCAAAAATTTATTGACAGTTTCAGTTAGTCGATATTTTTTATGAAATAAAGTTGTGCTAAAAAAAAAAAAATTTTAATTTTATTTTTGAAATTTATTAAAAAAAAATTTTTTTTTCTTTTAAATTTAATTTTTTTCATATTTTTTTGTATCGAAAGAAAAGAATATTAAAAATTTTAAAAATGAAATTTATTTTAGTATTACAAATAAGCATTTTAGTATATTGTTGTGCTGGTGCACCAACTGAAGAAAGTGATTCGGTAGATTTATTAATATCACAAATTTTTGGTAATAGTACGGCTTCAATACATTCAGATTCTGAATTGGGTAGTTCATCAATTTCAAAAGAATCAGAAGATAAAAAATCCGATTCTGATGGTGTACTAACTGGAAATAATTGTGGAAGTAATGATATATGTGTTCCATTTTTTGAATGTGATATCGACATAAAAGCGACTGACTCAAATGAAACATCAACAATTGATTACGGAAAGGAATGTGCATCAATTTTTGATATTTGTTGCAATAAAAAATTTGTAATAGAGAAACATTAATGTTAAATTCATTTGAATTCGTATTTATTTTAAAATTTAATTTTAAAAGAGTTATAAAAATCTCAAAACTTGTTGAGTGAATAAATGATGTTAAAATAAAAGAAATTATAAGAATAATTACAATTATTAAATGGTCTATTATAAATAAGATATTAAATATAATATAGGTAATTAATATTAAAGAATTAAGAAAAATTTAAATAAAGTGCTTTAATGTGTTCTTTATTTCCCCATTCGACGTTCTTATTACTGTTTTATCTCAATTTATGGAAATACAGGAATCTCATTTTATTACAAAATTATTTTCAATTCTGTTATAGTGACTAGTGAGTGATTCATTCGCCATGTAAAGAAAATATTTATAATCGCAACTTAGTCACAAATTAATAGTCAAGTGATTTTTATCAGTTACAATTTTTCTTTATTATATTGCTTTATTTTTCATACATATTATTAAAGTGAAGTATGTACATAATGTGTATCACGAGAGTATTAGTTTGCCATCTTTAAGTCATTATCAATCATTCTTAAATATTTTAATGTCATAATATTGCTAAAGGTGCACGCATATCTTTAAAATATTGAAAGCTTTCGCTTTAAACGTCATTGTTTTTTAAATTATTCTGTTTTTGTTTTTTGTATATTTCCAATTTTTCCGTTAGCAAAAATATTATGAAAACTAAAATGTTCAAATCTTTAAAATTTAAATTTACAGATTAGCTTTTACTGCTATATGGAAAAGGATTCAGTTAATTGGAAAAACAGTGCTCTACCTCCGAATTACTACCAACTACTGTGCAGGAGTAGTTACAAAAAATGCATTAACTTTTATCAAACAAAGCTTTTATTAAAAAGATTTTGTTATTAATTTGAACCATATTCTTAACAGAAAACTACTGTAAGCTGTCATTAAAAATTAAACCTTAAAGTTGACATAAGTTTTAAACATATTACTATAGAATAGAGCGGAGTATTTCGTAAACTTTCATCTTATATATTAAACATTATGAGAAAATTTTACTTGAATTTATTTTGTCATTATAATTGAGCTTTACTAGGTTACATGTGTGTATAATGTACTGTATATATTACAATTTGTTATACTTATGTATGTGAATACATACTACGCATAAGTATAAGTAAATACAAACATAAAAATTTCTTGTTTTACTTTTTTATTTATTGTCTTTAAGATCGTATTAAAATATTATGTTATTGTTTATAAGTAAAACGTAAATTTATTATTCAGACTTTATTTTTATTTTAATTCGAATCAGTTCTCTTCAAACCATACAAGCAAGCGGTGAAATCTTAGAAACTAAATCATTTTTAGTCGTTTACAAATTATTTTGTTTTCTTTTTCATTGTTTTTGTTTACAAATTTCATAATAATATGAAAAAAAGAGGGAGGAAAAGAGAAACAAAAAATATGATAAGAAATTGTTTTCTCATAATAACTATAACGTTATCACAAATTTATAATGCCAAAACACAAAATGTAAGAGAACAGGATTATGAATCTGCTTTAAATTTAATATTTAATACAAATTTAACAAATACTCAAACACAACAAAATCAATTTGAACAACAATTTAATCAGTTTAATAATCAACAATTGGATGTGAGAACAACAACAATAGCGCCAAATCAAATTACACCAAATCTAGTCAATAACAATAACTTCAACGTAACATATGAGATTTGTGGTGAAAATAAAATCTGTGTACCATTCTTTTTATGTAAAAACGGTACAGATTCATTAAATGACGATGGTGAACTAATTATAGATATACGTTTGGATGATAGTAAAAAATGTTCACAATATTTAGAAATATGTTGTAAAATTAATGATACAACCGATTCGAGAATACATTTTGCTACAAATGAAAATGAATATAATAAACCAAACTGTGGTAAACGAAATGATGATGGTATATTATTTCGTATTTCAGGTGGAATTGAAGATGAAACTGAATATGGTGAATTTCCATGGATGATTGCGATATTAAAAGAAGAATACGTTCGTGATGATATATTGACCCTATATAAATGTGGTGGATCATTAATACATCCATCAGTTGTATTAACAGCTGCACATTGTGTATATAATTATTCTGCACATGAATTGATTGCACGAGCTGGTGAATGGGATACTCAAACAAAAGATGAATTATATAGAGAACAAGATCGTAAAATATTGGAATATGTATTACATGAAAAATTCAATAAGAAGAATTTAAAAAATGATATTGCTTTATTATTTACAATTGAACCGTTCGAGTTGCGTGCTGATGTTAATACGATATGTTTGCCAACAATTGATGCAAATTATAAAAATTTTAGATGTTTGGCAACTGGCTGGGGTAAAGATGTATTTGGTAGAGAAGGAAAATATCAAGTTATTATGAAAAAAATTGAATTACCAATGGTAGCACATAACGTATGCCAATTTAAATTACGCAAAACACGTTTAGGTCAACTTTTTCGACTACATGAATCATTTGTTTGTGCTGGTGGTGAATTGGGCAAAGATGTGTGCAAAGGTGATGGTGGCGGTCCATTAGTTTGTCCAATAACAAATAAAAAATTAAAGTATCATCAAAGTGGTATTGTTGCCTGGGGAATTGGATGTGGTACAGAAACACCAGGTGTTTACGTAAATGTTGCATATTTTCGTACATGGATTGATAATATATTCACGTATCGAAATTTAGATACATCTTATTACACAGCTAGTTAGTTTCAAAGTATATTTTATTTGTCTTAGTTTTTATGTTTTTAAAGTTACTCTTGCCTTAAAATTATTGACTCTATGTGAATAATTAAAAAACAAATATAATTTATTTTTTTTTAATTAATATTATAAATGAGCATTTATTTTACGTAGTTTATGAATAAATATGAAAAATAAAAAATTTTAAAGAAATTTTTAAATTTCGTATAACAAATGATATAATGGTTTTATAGCATTCAATTGGCATTTATTGTTTCGAAACTTAAATATTTTAGAATAATTTTGAAGCTCTTCAGCATTCAAATTATCAATTGAATATCTATTTCATAAATACTATAGTGTTAAACTAGAAATTTTAAATTATAGATAATATTACTCGTATGTATTTAAATTTTTATAATAATATAATTAGTTACCTATAAAATAATATTTGCCGTAAAACATAAACGATATATAGAGTATTTAGTATTCACTATTTAGTATTTCTTATGAAGATTCAGTTGCCGCATTTGAGTGTTTTTTTCAACAAAATTTTAGAATAATATAACTTGATAAATTTTCAAATTGACATTAATTTTAACCCTTAACTGAAATTGTGTTTTTTAACTCATGGTACTAATATCAACTTTCTTAAAAAAATAAATGTTTTATTTTCTTTTAGTTTGTAAAGAATAAAAAAAAATAAAAAGTAAAAAACAAACAATCAAGATCTTTGGACGGAAATTTATCGGAATCACAAAATTAAGGAAGTCATTTTTCGCTTTTAGGGTATGCCAGAAGTTTCCAAACTTTTTTCTGTCGTAGACCTCTTGTCGTGTTTTAAATTTTTTATAGACTCTCTGCTATTTTTAATTTTGATATCTCTGCTACTATAATTTTGATAGATTCTCTGATAGATTTAAATTTCTAACAGTAGCAAGAGGTACACATATGATGTGAAAACTTATTTAATTAAATTCCTATTTCTTTATTAAATTTATTAAATATAATTAATTTAGTTATTAAATTTAAATAAAAATAAAGTAACTCTTACATGAGCCAAACTGAACAAAAACAAATTCACTCTTATACATATCGCTTGCTTTTCCGTCAATTTTATCACATATTTATTTTTCATTCTGTAGACCCCAATTTTCATTTGATAAACTTTCAATTTTCCCAATTTTCATTTGATAGACCTTTAATGTTTTCCCACCTTCGTAGACCCCTAGCAGGTCTTCATGGACTCTTGGTGGTCTATATAAACCACCATGAAAATCATGTATTTCTTGAAGATTAATTCGCATTTTTTAATTCCTGGTTTTAAAAAACTATATGAAAGTGTTATAATATAGAAAGAGTATGCCTCTTTGTCTAATTAATAATATTTAAACAAGTTTGAATTCCATTATAAGAATGATTTTTGAAAATTCATAAAAATCAATGGAAAGCTGAATTACCTTTAATTGATGATTTCTGTGGGACACAAATTCTTTTTATTTCACACACAGATTTTTTATTTCACTCTATATTATCATGCATTTTATAGTATTAAATAGCGAATGTTATAAAAAACTCGCAATATATTTCTTCACATTGATATAAAAAAAAATTATTAAGTTATTTATGGTCTTAACCTTATCATTTTATAACAATCTTTTTATTAATATAATTATTATCAGTAAAATGAGGTTACCATGATACATGGTAAAAATTCGGTTTGATTGATTATATTGTGTTAAATATGTATATGTATATTCAAGACTCATGTGGACATATATATAAAAATTTTAGCTTGCGAATAAATTTTGCCAAAACTGCAGACGAGTTTATTATATTTATTAAATTAATGTAAATATAAGTATGTTCATACTCTCATTTCGTTTGTAATATGTTAAACAAAAAAAAAAAGATTTAATAAATAAGTTATGCTTCTAAAATACACTAGTAACTACCTCACATTGCGTGTATTGTATTAGTAGTAGAATAAGGTAATGGAAAAGAATTGGAAATTCAAATTTCACTGTTATACATTCGAATTCAGTGTTTATCATTCAGTTTGCTATTATTCATTCAAACTAATATTGCAAGTCACCTATGCGCAAACATAATTTCTTTGTTAATATTCCTTTTCCAGTTATATGTAAATTAATTTTTAATTAATGTATAAAAAATTACATGGGCCAGAGCACGTTTCTATCGATTTTGAATCTAATATGCGAAATATTTTTAATTTTTTAAAATAATAATTTAGGTAATTAAAATGATAATTTTTTTGTAGTTAAATACAATCGTTTTTGGATCCTATGATAGGAATGATTCAAGTAAAATATGTAGTACAATAAAAAATTATTTAGCAATTTAACTGTAAATAAAAATAATGAAAAATATAATAATTTTAATAAACAACACAATTTGGTTTTTCCAGTAAAAAATATGAATGACACATGAATTCGAAATATCAATTTAATACAAAAGATTAAAACTGGCTTGAACTGTTTGAGATATTGTAAAACATAATTTCTTGATTACGTTTTATTAATTATTGTTTTGCGTGTGTATATAAGAACTAGTGTTCTTCTGTGAATTACAGTATTATTGTTCATGTTTTTGTGTTGAAAATATAATAAGTAGGTATGTATACCTTTGCCTATGTAAATGCGATTTTACTATTTCTTGTTATACGCGTACGGACATATGTACGAAGGGTATACTAAATTTACCATACCTTTTGTATCGCTAAGAAATAATGGTTTGAGATATAGACTTAAGTGTATGTTTTTGATCAGAATCAAATTCTGAGTCGATTTTGCTTTGTCTGTCCGCTCGTGCGCCCGTCCGTATTTCGCAACGATAACTCAAAAACTAATTGAGCTCAGTTCCCCAAATTTTCACAAATGATTTATAATAGTAAATGCCAGAACCCTATTTTAAATTGGATATGATCGGGGTACAGGTTCGGGTAGCTGCCATACAACTTCAAAATTTATTTAGCTATCTCAAAAACTGTAAAGCTGTGATATTCAAATTTCACACAAACGAATATAATTGTAAGTATAGCCAAAGTGTTTGATAAAATTCGTTGAAATTTCTTGGCTCCTTCTGGTAGCTGCCATACAACTTCAACAGTTGTTTGTCCATATCTAAGAAAATATTGAAATAAAGTACTGAAATTTTGAATAAATTAATATGGTAATATGGCAACTTAAAGTCATAGTCTGTTCGTTAGCCAGCTATGATATATTTATTCGCCATAGGATAACAAATTCGTACGGGTATCACAAAGTTAACACGATCAACTCTATTTTTTCTAGTTTTTTTAATAAAAAAACATTTAAAAATGCGGTATACAAATAAATTAACGCCAGTTTATAGTAAGTTTCTTTTCTAGTAGGATTCTTAAAAATTAAGTGATTAATTGTGTACAAGTTTAAAATTATTACTTGAATAACGGTTAATTTATTTAATTATTAAAAATGTTTCACTTAAGAGAGCATATAAGACATAAATTATTAATAATTTATAATTATTCATAATTAACATAGCAATTATGCATAATACTCCCAAGAAAACCAAAGTATAACAAAGGATTAGCAATTAAGATGAAATTATCCACATTTATTTCGGTGGGTGGCTTCATATTTTCATATTGAAAATAAACGTTTATATTTATTACGATTTTCGTAAAAAACTGGTAACGTTCCGAATTACTTTCAGTTACTCCGGACTTGTACACAGTATATTAAAGACATGCACTCATTATAGTTGTGTTTAAGATATTGGCTAATAAAAAAAGTTTATTTTTAGATTTTTAATTAAACAGAGTAACTCAACTTAAGAAAATTTCAAATTCCTCTTAAGTTATTATTTTTCGAAAATTACTTACTCTAAAAGTCTTCAAAGCAAAGTGAAAAAATACAAAATTATTTAAAATACCTAACCGGTAATTTCGTGACATGAAATGCTAATTAAAATATATATATAGAGAATAAGCAAAAACTTATTATAAATTAATTCTAAGCAGAAAAATATTTTGTAAGAAGAGGATTTTTTTTCATAAGATTGAAAAGTAAGAAAAAAATAACAAAAGAAAAATATATTCAAGTAAACAAGTTTCTTTCTTATCCTTTCAAATAAAATTCTAAAATTTATTTGACTTAAAATATCTTCTTCCAATTTCCATCAAATTCAACTTTTTCTACCAACTCTTCGTCTTTTCGTTCAATTCGGTCATCATACGTAGGTGTAGTTTGATAGTTTAGTGTAAATTGAAATATTGAACTTATATCAAAAATTAGAATCAAAATAATGGTTTATAAAGTAGCAGAATTCCTATTGAACAAGTAAAAATACCCTATTTTTTAAATCTTTTATTTAATACTCTCACTGTCATGACATTTTTAAGCCTTTTTGCTTAGGTTTATGTCAGTTAAAAATGACTGACTAAAATAAACTCCAAAATTGTTTAAACAGGCACTTTGACCTAATAAATTTTTTTATTCAAAAGCTACCCTGTCTTGCAATATATTACTATTATTTTAAGAGTTATTAATTCGTCAGCATTATAAAAATTTTCACACTGTTATGGTACTTTCGTTTTAACTTTCTTAAAATGTTTTACATGTTTTTTACATTTGATCGAGTTTCTCTTCTTGAAAATTTAGCTAATTTTTCAAAAAATCGTCACGGTAGCGGGAATCATTTTAATAATTGTCTTTGTGGCTTCCTTCTAGCTAGCCAGAAAATGCGTTTAAAGTTTTGAAATAGATTTTTTATCACTAAAAATATTTTTGCTACAGCTTATAATAGAAAATTAAATTGGTGGAGTCTGTGAGTATTGGCAGTAACGTGTCAGGCTTTTTCGATTCGCAGTGAAAGTTTTAAGCTATTTTCATAAATTTACCAAAATTATATCATGTAATGAATAACTCTCATATATTTTAAATTTGAGAACAATATTAAAAGAAGTGTTAATACTACTAGTTTGGTGAGTTAAGATAATTATCAATTTTTCTACAAAGTCTATATTGCGAAATACACAAATGATTTAAAATTCATTTCGGTATATAAAAATTTTACTTAACATATATAGGGAAACAATGGGATTGAGGCAGAAGAAGATCAAAATAACAAAATTAAATATTTTCATTTCCATTTCGTTATTTAAAAAGTATATGCCCCACTATTACAACTTTGATGATTTAAAAAGCTTATAAATTTTTCCGTTCTTTATAAATACTTATTGCATTCGTAGAAGTAATTAAATATGTTATTCGGATACTATCAATATTCCATCAATTTAAAACATACTGATCACATATATTAAATTATACCATTTATAACTACTTTAATTAAATATATCTACAAGAAACTTTAACGTTAATCCAAATAAAATTTTTTGTATTAAAATTTAATTAATAATATTATTAAGTAAAAGATATTGTTTTTCAGAATTAGAAAAAATGAAAAATTTAATATCGTTTTATTAAAAATAAAAATTGGTAGTAATAATAATTATGAACATGCTAAAGCTAAACAATAATACGGGGAAAGCAATGAAACTTGATTTTGCTTAAGACGAACATTTAAAATAAATAAAAATGAATGATAAAAATAAATTTTTTCCAGAATCTATTTGTTATTTAACTTTCTATTTTACACCCAAATTATGCATTGAAATCGTTTGAATATATTTAAGAATCAGAGTCAAATTGATTGAAACAGTTAAAACCAATTCGCTTTGCATTCAAATCATTGAATGTGGTGTCATGCATTTATATTTAGGTTACAATGCTTTTACATTTGAGGTTATTCGAAATTTGACATACTCTTAATATAATATGGCAATAAACGAATAAATTTTTTTCAAAATATTTTGAGTATTATAACTAATTTTTTTTTTCGTTCTCTTGAATTTCTATATTATAAGCTACTTGGTAAATTTTCGTTCTTAAAAAAATTTTAATTGAAAAATACTCAAAAGTGGTAGTTATTTACACGCGACATGATGATATTGTAAAAATGTGAGCAATTACTGGCACTATGACGTAAAGAAATAAACTTTTTTTTGCATGATTGTCGTATATATGCACAAAATAATGTACTACAAGTTTGTATGTTTTCCAATAAATATTTTATTTATTAAATAAATTTACACAATTAAATACGTTTCGTAAATTCAATTGAATAAAAAAAAACATTCATACTAGCACTGATTCACAACTGGATTTTCCATTTTGCAATTAAAAATAAATTTTTTAATAGTTTTAATATACGTTCATAATTAAATATAAATTTATAATTGCTAAAAATGATATCTGACAGAACATAATAAGTATATACGTACAGCTATAATTATAAAGTACCTATTCCCTTTGAGGTATAAAGTTTACAATTTTATTATTAAAGGTACAAAATTCCCAATTTCTGTTAATCTCTACTATTCTCTGGTGTTTGTAAGAAACACATAATTTAAATTTATGCTAATTGAACGTAACGTCAGTATAATTAATTGCTGTACTAAAATAAACATTTATGTTTCATCTTCTTGTAATGTTGTTTTGATTTTAAATACGGTCTTAAAAAAATTTAAAAAAAAATACAAATTTCGTTTTATTTCTCAAAATATATTTTAAATATTCTTGAAAACAGGTATTTTTATACGAGCAACATTCGTGGGGTGTTATAAACTTAAAACTCCGTTTGAAATGACAAAACGTAATAATCTAATTCTTAAAAATATGTGATCGTTTTTTATCGAATTTTGTCCAGTTCGAGTAAAGAATGTTTTTCTGCTTATCTCTCCATTTCTCCGGAAGCTTAAAAGCTTATTGTGTAAACTTCAACAAACTTTCACATGTCATTGTAATACTAAATGTCAGAATCTCACTTTAGTTTTAACCTTTAGGATGAAGACAGTGGTTCGTGCAGTTATCACGTAAATTTATAAATAGAGTGATCGTCTTGAAAACTACTCTTTATACTGAAATTCTTGTTGTTGCCTTTATACTGAAAACTGGTTTTTATATAAAAATTCCGTTCAAACTAGTTCAACTAGTAAACTAAATTAAATCTCAGAAAATATCCAAGTTGCAATGTTGAAATTTAATAGGAACTTTATTAAGATAAGGCCGCTATTCAAAAACAAAATTGCAATTATGATCATTAAATTCAAATCACACTTATTATACAACTTTTAAAACCAATAATTCGTATATGTGTCACACAGTTGACATGATCAACTTCACTTGTTCTCGTTTTTTAATAACTATAGAAAACTACTAAAACATCAATTTGTAAATAAAAAGCTGACGATTATGATTCACATAAAAAAAAGTTTTAGTTAGATATAAGCGTTCAACGTACACGGTTGCATTGAGATTCAGAAAATAAGGTAAGTTGAGAATTTTGTTTTTTTTTTTTTATTTTTGTCTCTTTTATGTTAATTTTTTATTGCTTAATTGTTAATTTATTTTTAGAAAAAGAAATATACTAATTAATAAATATCATCAATATTAAAGAGAAAATGGCGATCAAATTAATATTAAATGTGATAATTTTAAGTTTAATTCTAATTTTTAATTATGAAATAAATGCTCAAAAAGAATCAATATCGTTAGATAAACTAATTGGCTTAGTATTCGATAATAAAACTGGAGATCAAAGTACTGATACATCAACAATAAAATCACCATTATCAAGTACAACTAATTCACCACCATTTATTGATCCATACGTGCCAACATATGAACCTTGTGAAAATAATAATTTATGTGTACCATTTTATCAGTGTAAAGAAAATGGTTCATATAATTTTGATGGTGAGAATATAATTGATATACGTTTTGATGATACAAAACCATGTAAGTCATATTTGGAAACATGCTGTAAAACAGATGTAAAATCAATTGATCAAGAAGTACGTAATCCCAAACCAATTGAAAAATTTGAGAATTCATGTGGTAAAAGAAATATTGATGGTCTTGTATTTAAAATAACTGGTAATAAAGAGAATGAAGCTGAATATGCTGAGTTTCCATGGCAAGTTGCTTTATTAAAAGAGGAGAAAGTAGGTACAGAAATTTTACATGTGTATTTATGTGGTGCGTCATTGATACATCCGCAAGTTGTATTAACTGGTGCACATTGTATCGATAAATATGATATAAAAGATTTAGTTGCACGTGCTGGCGAATGGGATACACAAACTGAAGATGAAATTTTCAGAGAACAAGATCGTAAAATTATAGAGAGCGTTTCACATGAAAAATTCTCTAAAGCTGGGCTACATAATGATATTGCATTATTATTTACAGCTGAACCATTTGAATTACAAGGTCATATTAATACAATATGTTTACCACCACCAAATGCAAAATTTGATCATGATAAATGTATTGCTAGTGGTTGGGGTAAAGATGAATTTGGTGTTAAAGGTAAATATCAAGTAATATTGAAAAAAATTGAATTACCATTTGTACCGCGTGATCAATGTCAGGAAAGATTACGTGAAAGTCGTGTTGGTAAATTATTCCAATTACATGAATCATTTGTATGTGCTGGTGGGGAATTAGGTAAAGATGCATGTAAAGGTGATGGTGGTGGTCCATTAATTTGTCCAATACCTGGACAAAAAGGAAGATATTATCAAGTTGGTATTGTTGCATGGGGTATTGGTTGTGATGGTAAATATCCAGGTGTATATGCAAGCACTTCATATTTATATGAATGGATTGAAAATGTTTTAAAAATGAGAAACTTTGATTCAATTCATTATACTGCTTTATAAGAAAATATACTAATAAAATATTTTGTAAGAAATGATATTTTTAAAAACGCAGCGTTTTTCTTTTTTAATATAATTTATTTTTTTAATTTCTAAAAATACTTTTAATTTCATTCTAGACAATTGGAGCGCAACAAAATTCTTGTAAATGCAATTTTATTAAATTTACTTAAGAACTTCCTATTGTAAACGCACTTACTTAAGAATAATCATATGAAAGATCTTCATTTTAAATTAAAATTCAAACCATATTCTTCTTGCATAAGTGTTTAAGCGGTATTCAAGAACCTGAATTTAGTATTCAAGAAAAATAGTGTTGAGTATTTAGTTTACAACTTGCATGATAGTAATTTAGGTATACAATATAATCTTGATTCTTACTATAACGAACTCAAAGCATGGGCTTTATATCAAAGACAAGTTCATAATTTTCTGATTAAACACACTCTTCATGAAAAATCTCACAATAAAATATTTCGAAAATATTAACAGAATAAGGAATTTAAAGCTATATTGACCGAATTGTGTAATTTTAACAATTCTGTGTGAAATTGCCAAAAACATATAAACGTTTTAATCCTTGAGTATTCAAGATTCAAATCATACAGAACAATTCACAATGGTTGGTAACAAAATTTTTATTAAAAATTGATGATTTGAATTTGAAGTTTAAATTCATGTTGAAATTCTTGAGTAATTCAAGTTAAGCATTTTTATAGCTTCAGAAGATCACCAAAGTGATTATTGTGCTTAAACAATCAAAAAGGTTTATTTAAGGTTAAAAGCGTTTTGTTAGTGATAATCAATGAAACAACGTAAAGAAGAATCGAATAGAATAACAATATTCAGCTTAAGTTACACATTGTTGAAATGAAGAGTGTTACTAAAAATAAATTTTAAATTTGGTCTACTGCAATTCAAGGTAACTTTTAGCCAGGTTTCGCAAAGTATAATTTTAATAATTTTTTTTTATTTGTTTTTTCATAATTAATATTTATTTATGTAAATAAGTATATGTAAATATATATTTATATTATGTACATAGATATAGGCTTATCGTGATCCTCTCCTCAAATTAATTATTATCAACCAAAGAGCGGTTTTTATTAAAAACTTTTTTTTGACTTAAACTTATTTTGTATACCTATAGTATTTTTATATACACACCTATACCTAAGGTATATAAATTTAATAAGAGAATACGTTGAATATTTTGAGTTATGTTAAATACACAGATTAAAACTTGACATACTGTTTAGATTTGCATAAAAACAAGTATTTTTATTTTACTTTTATAAATACTAATTGAGAGATTAGTCAGATTTGAACTTTTGAAGTAAGAAGACATAATATTTTAACTACAAATCGCTGAACAAAAAATTAAAATATAAATTTGATAACGTGATAATATTTAAAAAAAACCTTAATTAATTGAAATATATTATTTAATTATTTTAATATTAACAAAAATAATGAGGTTATTTTATAAAATGAAAATATTTAATGCATTACTGATATTGATTTCAATATCTATTTGGGAAACTAAAACGCAAACAACAACGAAATCATATACAGATTTATTAAAAAGTGTTTTAAGTGGTGCCATAAATGCTAATAGTTCAATGGTACAAAATTTACCCACAATAGTTAATTTAAAAGATATAGTAGGTCAATCAAATGAAACAAAAACAAATTATGCCTCATGCGGTGATGATAAAGTTTGTGTACCATTTTATCAATGTAAAGAAAATGGTACATATAATTTTGATGGTGAAAAATTAATAAGTATACGTTTTGATGAAACAAAACCATGTAAATTATATTTGGAGACATGTTGTAAAGTTGGTATAGAAACAATTGATGAAACTATTGAAGTTCCTCAGTTATTAGTTGCAATTGAAAATACATGTGGCATAAGAAATGAACGTGGTGTTTTAGTTAGATTTGCAGATGGTGAACAAGATTCTAGTGCATATGGTGAATTTCCATGGATGATAGCTGTAACAACAATTGAAAAAACTGATGATGAATCTTTTGAAATATTTTTATGTGGTGGTTCATTAATTCATCCAAATGTTGTTTTAACTGCAGCACATTGTGTTGTTAAATATATGCCAAACAATTTAATGGTTAAAGCTGGTGAATATGATTTATTAGAAGAGGAGGAAATTTATAAAGTACAAGATCGTTTAGTTAGTGAAATAATTGTACATGAAAAATATTCTAGATTAACACAGAAACACGATATTGCATTACTAATAACAAAAGAACCATTTAAATTAGCTAGACATGTAAATACTGTATGTTTACCACCATTAAATACAAATTTTCAAGATAAATTATGTTTTGCAAATGGATGGGGTACGACACAATATGGTTCGTCAAATTTTCAAAATATATTGAAAAGAGTTGGTTTTAGAGTTATACCATCAGATATTTGTGAAGCGAAAATAAAAGAAGATGAAGAAATAAGAGATAATTTTAAACTTCATGAATCATTTATTTGTGCAACTGGTAGTGAAGTAGGTAATGACTTATGTAAAGGTGATGGAGGTGGTCCATTAAGTTGTCCAATACCAGAAAAAACGGATAGATATTATTTGGCAGGCATATCATCATGGGGAAATGGTTGTGATGGCAAATATCCAAATGTATTTACTCATGTATCGTTTTTACGTGACTGGATAGATAATATTATGAAAATGAAAAATTTTGGTACAACTTATTATAGCATTTCATAATTAATTATAGATTTTAGATTTTTATTTAATTAAAACGAAAAAAAAATTTTATATTATATTTTTTAATAAACAATTTTAATTGCAAAATTTGATAATAATTAACTTTTTTTCTCATAATTTATGAAATTAAATAAAGAATTAAAGTAAGTAAAACTGTTTTATTATCGTAAATAATATAACATTAAAGTTTAAGGGGGCTTGTAAGAAATTGAAATTTGCGAAAACAAAACATATGAAACAAAAGTTATTTAACTTAATTTAATAAGACCTTGTAAATTTAATTCAGTTTTATAATTTATCAGAATTTGTAAAGAACTATTCGGCCTGGAATGGTAAATGCAGGGGATATCATCATTAAACAGAATAAATTGTCATCGTAATGGAGGTTGACATTTTATACATATGTCGATCATATTTTTGTAGTAATGAATAATTATAATGCTGTATGGGGTCTACGCTTAATTTTACTCTAACTTTTTTTCTCGACCTCCAACAAATGTTGTCTGTTCGTTATTATTACCGTCCGATATTTTTAAGATCGCTGATTCTTGTAAAGTCTTAAGTCGTTCGACGTCAACCTGGATATATGTAAAAAATTATTAAGTAACTATAAAATGATTTGTTTTATTTTAAGGGTTATTTACGTAACTTAGATTCCAAAAAATTCAAGTAAGTATGAAAAGTTTTATTCAATCGAAAATTTATTTTTGAGACGCAGTATTCATAAAGCAATACTATCTTGCGCTACATTGGATTTAAATATTTAATAAAAATTAAGGTAAATATTAAAAAAATAGTAGTACTTAAAAGAAGAATATTAAAATTTTTATTAATGTACTTTGAATGGCGCTTCCCAAAGTCATATTGTACCCTTAATTTATTATTTTATAAAGCATTTAATTATATTGTAGAAAAAATTCAGATTCGCTTTTTCAAGTTTCTGGTTTGCAATTAGAAAATACATACTTCTGTTTCGTACAACCAAAATTAAAACTTGTCATATCACAAATTTGCATAAAAAACTAGTCTTGAAATAATAACAATATGAAACAAAAGTTATTTAACATAAGCTTATTAAATACACATAAGTTAGTAATATTTTAACTTTACAGACAAACAGTCATATTTAAATAATCGTGAATTAAAAGTCTGATATCAATAGAAATATTATTTTTTTACTTAAAAACAATAAAATCAAAGAATGAAATCAAGTGTTAATTTTATTATGTTAATGTTAATTTCAATACTAGTTGGTACAATCAATACAAATAAAATTCCTTCAAATATATTAGATAATGTAAAAGCCGGTATGATAGAAAGAGATAGTACAAGATTAAAGAAGCGTTCTGAGAATGATGAAGCATATCATCCCAGTTATCTACCATGTGAAGATAATGGACAATGTGTTCCATTTTATCATTGCAAAAATAAGAATAATTACAATATAGATGGGAAAATGTTAATTGATATTCGGTTTGATGAAGCAAAATCATGTAAATCATATTTAGAGATATGTTGTAAAAATGATTCACATATAATCATTGATGAAAATATTTTTAATGAAAAACACATAAATAATATTCGGAATCATTGTGGTGTTGGTAATCAAAATGGAATATATTTTAAACTTTCTGGTAATAATGCAAACGAAGCTGAATATGGTGAATTTCCATGGATGATTGCTGTATTAAAAAGAACTGAAATTGAAAGCTCCATTTATAATACATATCATTGTGGTGGTTCATTAATTCATCCACATGTTGTATTAACAGCAGCACATTGTGTTTATAAAAATAGTGCACATGAATTAATAGCAAGAGCTGGTGAATGGGACACACAAACAAATGATGAAATATATAAAGAACAAGATCGTTATATCAATGAAATTATAGTACATGAAAAATTTATAATTGATACATATTTTAATGATATTGCACTATTAATAACGGTAGATCAATTCAATTTAGGTGTAGATGTTAATACAATATGTTTACCACCGAAAGAAATAAATTTTGATAATGCACGTTGTTTTGCTACCGGTTGGGGTAAAGATCAATTTGGTAAAGAAGGTAAATATCAGGTTATTTTAAAAAAAATTGATATACCTGTTGTACCAAATAATAAATGTCAAGAAAGTTTACGTAAAACACGTTTTGGTGAACGTTTTATATTACATGATTCATTTATTTGTGCTGGCGGTGAATTAGGTAAAGATACATGTAAAGGTGATGGTGGTGGACCATTAAATTGTCCGATTCCAGAGCAAAGTGGTAGATATTATGAAGCTGGTATCATATCATGGGGTATTGGTTGTGGTGGAACAAATCCTGGTGTTTATTCTAGTATTACTTATTTACGTGATTGGATTGATAATATAATGGAAATGAAAAATTATGATAAATTTTATTATATAGCATATTAAATTATAAACAAAAAAAACAAGTAAATGTTTTAAATTTAGTTAAATGCGAGTTGCTCAATTTTAATTAATATACCACATGGATGTCAATAAGATTTTTTAGGCACTATAAAATACATTTAAATAATTTACCGTATTATCAAATTACATGCTAGCAATAAATGAGTAAATTATTTCAATTGTCTATTTTTCTCATTTAAAAGAGTAGAATGAAAAAAGAGAATGAGAGATAGGAGTTGCGTGAGAGATTAGAATAAAATGAGATTTTATAATTTTGTTCATTTTTATTTTAAAAATCAAAGCTTGAAAAATTAATTAAATAAACCTAATTTTTTATGTCATCATTGGTTAAATATTATTTATGTGTGTATGTTTATTGGAATAACCCAAACTCATGAATAATAATTTGTTTTATGCTTTCTTTAATTTGAAGCATGTTAATTGTTTTATTCAGTAATTAATTTTTTTTCATTGTATTTTTTACTCATATTCTAATAATCATATGGAAGTTACAGTAGTTTTTCAGTAATTATTTTATTTAAGTTTAAAAGCACGAATATTGTTATGGTTTTGAATAATTCTAAAAAAAAATTTGTATGAGTACAATAAGAATTCATAAATTTCTTAAAATTAATCTAAAGTCAGTGAATGTAATATGCTCAATAGCAGCCAATTTGTTGTAAAACATTTGTTATCATACAGTCTTTTGTGTTTTTAGACCAAGGTTCGTATATACACTTAAATTACGAGTAGAATACGTTTGCTAGTACAACAATCCTATTTTTTTTAGTGTTATGAACGAGTCGGAATATTTTCTATAAGTTTTGAAAATTATTTATGCATAAATTGAGAGGAATAAAGTACAAAGAACAAGAGAGTGATTTTTTTTTAATATACATACATAATATAGCTTTTTCAGGTTATCAGAAAATAGAAATTTACATTAAATTTTAAATGTTCTATTGCAAAAAAAATAACAAAAATATGTATGTATGTGTTAGGAATAGCTTACAATATTGAGAATATATCCGTATCTTCTTTATGTTCTCTAGTAGTCGAAAATTAATTTAAATAAATTGTTCTAAGTAAAAATTACTGTTCGTCTGACTCTGTAATAGATTATTAAATTTTTTAGTCTGATTAAAACTTCATATATAAATAATTTTAATAAATTATCATGAGGGACATGAAGTAGTCGCTCTAAACTCACTTCTATAAATTTCTAAAAATTTTTTCCTATATTTTTTACAAGAATTCTGAATAAGGATTGCAGAGTTATTCAAGACAATTTCGGCGTAACCTTATTTAAATTGAATTATTTGTTTATGCAATCATGAATGAATGTTGTGCACCTCGCATAAAGCATTTCGTTGACGTGCCCAATGGCAGTGTTCAATAAATTTTGAGGATAATAATGTTGTTTTGGTTTTTATTTTGATTGGAGCTCGAATTGTTTCGAATTTTACTCTCTGGGTCAAAAACTGAATACGACAGTTCAGTAGTTTCGCCGTATAAATTTAATTAATATATTTGGTGTTATCATCTATCAATACCACAGCTTTAACTAAGGCATCACATCAAAAAGCAACTTGAAATTTGAAAATAAGTAAAATAAACAAAATTCATTTTTCTAAAGACGTAAATTTTTTATTTAAATCAAATAATTCCAATTGTGTACATTTCTTAGAAATTCAAACTGAATCCAAATGTAAATAATGGAATCATAATTAAGCGCTAATTCACATTGCTCAAGGTTTATTTTCGATATTTCAGGAGACCGAATCATATTTATATATTTCTGAATTTCATTTCATATTTAGTTGTTTATTATAATATAGTAGTATATTTTTATTTTAATCTCAAACCAGTTGAATAAAAACAAAAAAATATTAACTATCTTATGGAAAGGTCATCGTGTGCAAGCAAATACAGATAACCTGTTGAAAAATGTTTTTTTTTTTAATTTTAAATAAACAAGTATAGGAATAATAAATAGTTCTTACTCAGTAGTTCAAGTATTCGGATGTGATTTCGATTCGGTATAAAATTAATTTTCATAACAAAAGAAAATAAAAACAAAAAGAAAATACAAAAATATAACAGCTATATTATAACAAATTTAAATATTGTAAAAAATAATGAAGATAATTTTATTAATATTTGCTATAACGATAGCAATATCAAACCGGATTGAAGCACAGAGACCAAGTACGTCATTAGATGATCTTTTACAAAATGTTTTTAATCCAAAACCAACACCAAATCCTAATAATGGAAATGTAATACCAACAAAAGCTCCTGTACCAACAAATCCTAATACACCACAAACTGGTGATGGGGCATCATATGCACCCTGCGGTGATAATAAAATTTGTGTACCTTTTTATAATTGTAAAAATGATACCGGTAATTTAAATACCGATGGTGAATATTTACTTGATATACGTTTTGATGATACAAAATCATGTGCATCATATTTAGAAACATGTTGTTCACTAATTGATAAAAGTACTGATGTACCTGTTGTAACACCAAAACCACAGGAATATAAAAAAGGTTGTGGTAATAGAAATGCTGACGGTGTACTATTTCGAATTACTGGAAATAAAGAAGGTGAAACTGAATATGGTGAATTTCCATGGATGGTTGCAATATTAAAACAAGAACAAGCCGGTGAAGAAATTTTAAATATATATCAATGTGGTGGTTCAATAATACATCCACAAGTTGTATTAACAGCAGCACATTGTGTTTATAAAAATAGTGCACATGAATTATTAGCAAGAGCCGGTGAATGGGATACACAAACAAAAGATGAATTATATAGAGAACAAGATCGTCAAGTTATTGAAATTGTTTTACATGAACAATTTTCAAAAGGTGGTTTACATAATGATATCGCATTATTATTTACAGCACAACCATATGATTTGGGAATTGATGTTAATACAGTATGTTTACCACCACCAAATACAAATTTTGAGAATGTACGTTGTTTTGCTACTGGTTGGGGTAAAGATCAATTCGGTCAACAGGGTAAATATCAAGTTATATTGAAAAAAATTGATGTACCAGTTGTTGCACATGATCAATGTCAAGCTAGTTTACGTGATACACGTTTAGGTAAATTCTTTCAATTACATGAATCATTTATTTGTGCTGGTGGTGAACCCGGTAAAGATGTATGTAAAGGAGATGGTGGTGGACCATTAAGTTGCCCAATATCTGGTCAAAAAAATAAATATTATCAAGCTGGTATTGTTGCATGGGGTATAGGTTGCGGTGGAACAAATCCTGGTGTATATGCTAGTGTTTCACATTTGCGTCCATGGATTGATAATGTTATGTCATCAAGAGGTTTTGATTCATCTCATTATACAGCTTGATTAAAATTTAATTATATTTTATGATTTTTAAATTGAAAATAAAAATGAGTGAAATTTTTTTTTTTCTAAATCAGAAATAATACATTTTCATTAATTACAAGGGAAATTCTTGGTAAAATCTAAAAATAAATAATTGTGCTTCGGGGTTTTTTACTTAATCAATTTTAGAATATTTAGCATCCGGATTATTATTTTAAATTAAAATTTTTTCTTTATTTTCTAATGAAATCTTAAAACTACAATATAAATGATGACCTGAGCTAAGCTTATAAAAATTTTTAGAATCTTTTTGTTTAGAAAACTTTGGGTAATCAACACTTTTTTTTTGATAATGAATATTTTGTGTTAATATGAATTTGTTTTTTAATTTAATAATATTGTATTCTTTGAAAGGAGAATATTTTTTTTTTAATCTTTATCATTAGAATTAAATAAAAGCTTTAGTCGTCTATGATGTGCTAATATGCATATGAATACATACATATGTTATGTGTATATAACAATGATAGAAATGTCTATAATATAAATAAGTTATAAACAATGAAAGTAATTGATGAGTTTTATTGTGACTTGTAAATGAATATGATATTTTGTTCAAATATTATGAGTTAACTAAACGTGAAATAAAAATTGGCAGAATATAAGAAGTACATACATATTTAAAACTATGTATGTTATATTTATCTAAATAATACATGCATTAGAACTTGGAAAAAAATTCAATCATTTACGTAATGATAATATTTATTATATTCATTTAACCCTATTGTGTCCTAATTCTTTTGATTACTATGCAAGAAACTGATATTATAAAAAACAAACAAACAAGTCCTTTTGAGATGGCTTATTATACGAAATATTAATCACATTCTTTACTACAAAATTTGCACATTTGTTGTTTAGAACTCAATTAATTAGATTTATTAAATCTGATTAGAATTTACAGAAAGTTGGCGGCTTTTGATTTTAAATGTGCAAAGTATGTCAACTTAATTATGACTTTGAAACGGAAAAACTTTAGTGACTGTCTTCTATTACAAATTTGGTGATTGGCGTTTAAAGTATTTAACATGTAGTTTCTTTTTAATCTATTGTTAGGTATTTTGTTTTTAAGTAGGTTTTAAAATGAAATATAAATTAAAATGTTAAACCCCGCAAGAAATTAATATTTTGAGAATACCAAGGGATTCCCTTCCATTTGAAGGTGATCAATCGCAATCACCTCAATTCAATAAAAATTTATAGTGTCTAAAACAACGTCTTATATATTATGTCCAAAAATTATATTATATAAACCAATTATGCTTGATCAGGCAGAAAATATAAAATGTTTGCTTATCCAGACAAAAAATATGGAATATTTGCGTTGTTTTCACATCTTCGAAAATACAATTATACGTTTTCCCTTTGTCTCAATTTTAACAAATTATTTTTACTTAAATTACATTTTATTTGAAACAAAATTCTAGTTCAGCCTTGATAAGGTTGGGCTTAAGAATAATTTAAATTGAAGTTCCCTATCATAAAAAATATTTATAATTGAAATACACAATAAAATATACAAATTTAATTAGCTTGTGAAAATGCTAGTATGTTATAGCGTTCATGCAACCGTATGTCAATATATGTGGTTCAAATGGAATGTTCAAATTTTGCATATACCTTCATATTACACACAAAACTTTACTGAAATTAAAATTATGACAATGTGATGTAAGAGGTTAATCTATGGTTTTATGCTTGAATAGAAATTTGTAATCTAATACGTTACTAAAATAGAATACTTTTCGTTTACAACAAATTTAATAATGTATAATGTTTTCCTATGCGTTTTAAAAGTTTTATTTTAGTTCCCTTTCAAAACAAACATTTCTGATATTCTAAACAAAATTAAAATGAGTCTATAATCTTAAGTTTTCCACTTTTATCGTGAGAATTCAAAGCATAATAAATAAGGAATATAGATCCGTTTTTGGGTCTGAAATGTGATAGTTTGATTACCCAATTAAGAAATAGAACATGTTGTTCCCAAATTTTATTCTCAAATGCCTACATTATTGTTGAATCTCATAATTTTTACAAAGTAAAAATGCAAAATTGAATTGTACTTTTATTATAAAATTTTAGCTTTCTGATTTAAACTGGAATTTTGATACCATTTTTGTTTGATTAATATTAACTCAGAAAAGTGTGCGTCAAAACTTTATCAAGACTTTTAGATTTAAATCCAATTTTATAATTTGGTAGTGCGAAATTATAAGTGAATTTTAATCATTCACAATAAAAAAGTTTGTAGACACCTCAATAATATTTAATTTTTTTTTGATAAACTTTACCATATTTTTCACCTTCACAATATAAGTACAACGTATACATACAGATTTTACATTATGTACATAATTTAAATATTTAAAATTTTTTTCACGTAACCGGTATTGATAACCGACTCGTCGCTATTATGTTCTTTTCTTTCTTACTTTATAAAACTGTTATTGTTTTACAATTATAAAAGTTTTATTTACACACAACTTTAAAATCGTTGCCAAAATAATAATATGAATAATTTAATTAAAATTTCAATGCTATAATTTGTAAAATTTTCTCATCATTTAAAGCGTTTTAAACTTTTAAACTTCACAAAAAAGAAAAAGATCACAACAAAATGAAATTTAAATTATTATTCGGTATGAGTTCGATGTGATTAATTTTTGAAGGTTCCTGAAGTAAAGTTTTGTATGAAATACTAATTTTGACTAAAAATATGCAATATTTTTTTCTTTAAAAATGTACAAAAAATAAATTTGAGCTTTATCGTATTTTGGGAATATTTTGCTTTTACTTTTGGTTATGTATAATTTGTTGTGTATTTACGTGAGTAGCTTATACATATTGTAATTTTTATTTTAGAGTAATTCTTTGGATATATGAATATTTTTTAGAGCTTTTAAAAATCTAGGTCTACATTCTTCTTTGTGAATTTTTTAAGATTCACAAACAAGAATAGACAAAAATAGACGAAACAAACTATCGCATTTCTCCTACTTTCGAAGTTCAACAAACGGTACAGCATGAATTAATTAATTTTTAATATTAATGTTCAGAATAAGACTTCATTGTTAATATTTTGAATTTTTTGAGATTATGATTATGTATTATTAATATGACCACAATTCTATGTAATATATTTTACAGGGTGTCTCGCCTAAAATAGTAAATAATTTCAGGGGTAATTCTTTGGTCAATTTCCAGCAAAATTTTATGGAGGGGAAGGGAGGGGGGTTCAGGGATACTCATTTTCGAATTACAGCCTGTTGAAAAAAAGGGTACCAGATTTTCCTGAAAAAGAGAAAAATAAAGAAATTCTTATAACTTTTGAACCATGCTAAATATTACAACCGTTGGGGGCTTGTTTTACAGGCAATTGATTGCTCTTTATTTTCAGGCTTACAATCAATTTAATATTAGCCATATTTTGTTTAGGAAACCAATAGATTTCAAAAATATTTTCTAATTATTAAAAGAAATTTATTTTGAAATTAATTTAATATAAGAAATTCAATTTTGAAAATATTTTTCACAAAAATTCTACAAATTCTTTTTCTTTTTGCAAAATTGAAATGGTTTTCTAATTGTGGTGAAAAAAATTTTACAATTGATAATATTATGGAAATTATTATTTAATAATTTTAGTTATTCTTTTATTTCATTTTTAATTGTTTATTTTATTATAGATAGTATACAAATAATATTTATAAAACTATAAAATTTTTAAGAAGTACTTAATTATTATAATTAATAATTGTGTATTACTATATAACCTTCGATTATTATTATTATTTATTCAGTATTAATAAAATCTTATCTTTATAATACTCTTAATAACATTATTAAAATATTTTATTGTACTTTTCAATTATTACCATTTTTTGATTAGTAATTGTATATTAATGCAATTATTTTCTATAATAAGGTAAAAGTACTTTATATTTTAAAAGAAAGCGGGAATATTGACGGGAATTTTTTCAAAAATTGTAGTATAATATTATATTAGAAATAAAATTTATAGGACAACAGAAATATTGATGTTATAATATAGGAATATACTACATATATTTGCTTAGTTATTGGCCAATTAATTAATTTGATTTTTTTAGTATTATCTTAAATATTTTGAAATAAAAAATTAAAAAATTTGGCTTAAGTAAATGATTATTGTAGAAATGTAAATTAAAAATGTCGATTTTAGGCATTCATGTTAAAAAATTTAATGTTACCAATTTTAAGACTACGCCCTGATAGTAGTAAAAAGTGAATTTAAATAAAATATTTAATATTCAATTATTATTGAAAAATATTCGTTCACTTTTATATACATCAGAATTATACAAATGCTTTCTGTTCTTTCCATAATAAATTCTGAAAAGAATGTACTATAAAATAGTTACTTATTGTACTTATGTCATAATTTTGTGCTACTCATTCATTTCTGAGAATTTTGATCACATACTATTGCAATAACGTGAATTTTTATTTTCATAATAAGTGTGAAAATCTATCATTAGCAGAAAAATTAATTAAAATATTAACACCTAACTTTAAAAATAAAAACAATGATATACTTCATGTATATGCAATATAAATAAATAAGTAGGTACTTGTAATTTTACAAATTTTCATTTAAAATTTTATTTAGCTATTAAAATCAATCCAAGAGAATGCATTTTTATACCCAAAATTAAAGTTTGATAGACTTTTCAACTAATTCAAAATATTTAAAGGGGGTAATAATAGATCATGGTAATGGTATTAATGCATAAATTATATATGAACATTAAAATAGTAAAATTCGGCCAGATGTTAGAAAAAAATTAAAAGTTTTCCGATATTATAATATAACAGTACAATAGGTAGGATTTAATTATGAAAAAGCTTAAAGTTTTTAAGATAGTTTTGCTAACATAAATAAATTATTAATTTATTGTGACAGAACTGGTTAAATTAATTAAATAGAATCCATTTTTGCGAAAATTTCAATTCATAACATTCATTTATAATTTTCATAAT